AATTACATACTAAAGAGGTCAAGCTAACCTAACCTGACGAGAAAGCAAGCAGCAGGCAAGCAAGCAACCAACCAAGTAAGCAACAACAACATATTCAATTCATTACATGGGAAGGAGTCAAGTTAACCTAATCTGACGAGAAAGACAACTACTACATTCAAAAGGCAGGCAAGCTCTAGCTAGTCATGAACGAGAACTAACTACAATCAATCTTATTATTACATACGGAAAGCTGACCTGACGTGACGAGATAGAACAAGAGAAGATATTCATTACATATAGAACAGAAAGAGAAGCTGCTCACTCACTCACCTATAGTTGCTATAGAGCAAGCAAGACAGACAAGAAGATTGATTCATTACATACGGAAAGGTAGTAAAGCTCTAACGTCAAGAAGAACTGCGGATACATTACTACGGAAGGTTCATTCAAGCTTACCTGACAAGAAGAGGAGCACTAGACATTACAGAAAGGTCAGTCAAGCTCCAGCTATTCCAGAAGAACACCATTTCTATTACAGAAAGGTAAAGCTACAACTATTCCAGAACTACACCATTTCCATTACAGAAAGATAAAGCTACAGCTATTACGGAAGAGCTAGATTTAGATTACAGAAGGGGGTCAAGTTACAGCTATTCCGCAAGAACAAGATTTAGATTACAGAAAGGGGTAAAGCTCCAGCTATTATGAAAGAACAAGATTTGACATTACGGAAAGGTCAAGGCTGGCTAATCTAACGGCTAGAACAAGAACAACAAGAACAACATTTACTACATTACAAAAGCAAGAAGATCAAGGTCAAGAGCAAGAGCAAGAAGGTCAAGGTCAAGCTACTAACCTGCCAAGAAAGAACTTAATTTACATTACGGAAGGTTAAAGTTAAAGCTTTAGCTAATCTAGAACAAGAAGAAGAAGAACATTTACAGGAAGGTTCTCAAGTTCTAGCTAGTCATGAGCAAGACAAACTTACATTTACAGAAAGGTAAAGGAATCTAACGTCATGAACAAGACAAACACCAAGACAAGATATGAATAACATATGGAAAGAGAAGCAGCTGCTCACTCACCTATAGAGGAAGCAACCAAGACATACAACAAACAACATTCTAATTACTCCGGAAGGGTCAAGCTAATCTCTACTAATCTGACGTCAAGAAGAACTACTGATACAGAAATTACTACAGAAGGGTCAAGCTAACCTTATGTCTATAACACCAACAAGAAGATTAATTACAGGAAGGTAAAGTAACCTGCCGAGGAGAAGAACAGCATCATCATCATCAATCAGAATTACTACAAGCAAAAGAAGGGTAACGCTAATCTGACGGCAAGAGGAGTTGCGGTGCGGATACACTAATTACTACGGAAGGGGGTAAAGCTTACCTGACGTCTGAAAAGGAGCTAGATTTACATTACAGAAGGGTAACGTTTCCCTCTGGTCAAGAAGAGCTAGATTTAGATTACAGCAAGGTCGGTCAAGTTTCCCCTAGTCATGAAGGAAGAGCTAGATTTACATTACAGCGGGGTAAAGCTCTAGCTTGTGACGAAGGAAGAACAAGATTTCCATTACGGCCGGGTAAAGCTCTAGCTAGTATGAAAGAACACCAACGTTTCCATTACGTAGGGGTAGGTAAAGCTTACCTCTGGTCAAGAAGAACTGCGGATACATTACGGGCAAGAAGGTCAAGTTTTCTAACGTGATGATATGAACCAACAGACATCATTCATACAATATACTTCAATGAAGATGTGAAGAAAATGTTGTCAAAATTATCAAAAGAGGTTGCAATTTATGTCACATTGAAGAGGAATGAAGTTTGATGGTTATAAATTTTGGGTGGGTTACAATTTAGAGTAATTTAGAGTTATTGTATTTTAAGACATTTTATTTACTTTAGGTTACATTTACATAATGGCTAATTATGGTCATTAAGTATGAATGTTACAACTTTTGGAATGCCTTTAATAGTTTCATTTTGAGGCTATATAAAGCCATGTATGTTGTATTTGTAGGTAGACTTGAAAAATATAGTAAAAGAAGTATTTGTGCTCTTCTTTAGCCAATGGCTAAGTTTCTTTGCAATTCTATGTAGTTTAGGTTGCATATAGAATCATTCAAGCTCGACATGATCAATCTTGCTTGTGGAGTGATTCGAATCTCAATCAAGTGTTCTTGTCTTGAGATATTTGATCAACAAGAATCATTGAAGCTAGACATGATCGATCTTGCTTCTGGAGTGATTCAAATCTCAAACAAAGTGTTCTTGCCTTGAGATATTCGATCAACAAAGTAATCCGAATCTTATTCCCCTTGTAGTTGATTCCTTATCTTATCACGTGACGAACAACAACAATTTACATTATGGAAGGGTAAAGCTCTAGCTTGTCATGAGTAAGAACAAGATTTCCATTACGCCCGGGTAAAGCTCTAGCTATTTGAGAGCAAGAGCTAGATTTAGATTACAGAAAAGAAGGTCAAGTTAGTAACCTTTAAAAGAAGGTCAAGTTATAACCTTTAAAAGCAGAAGGGAAGGGTAAAGTTACTAACCTTTAGAAAGAAGAAAGGAAGGGTCAAGTTATAACCTTTAAAAGAAGAAGGTCAAGTTAAGTTACTAACCTTTAGAAGAGAAGACGACAACAACAACATTACAGGAAAGTCAGGTCAAGTTACTACCTTAACGAAGAGAAGACCAATAACAACATTTACAGTAAGGAAGGTGATATGAACCAAGAGACATCAATCATACAATATGCTTCAATGAAGATGTGAAGAAAAGGTTGTCAACATTATCAAAAGATGTTTCAATTCATTCTATCATTGAAGAAGAATAAAGTTTGATTGTTGTAAATTTTGGGTGGGTTATAATTTAGAGTAATTTAGAGTTATTGTATTTTAAGACTTTTTATTTAATTTCGGTTACATTTACATAATGGCTAATTATGGCCATAAAGTGTGAATGTTACAACTTTTGGAATGTCTTTAATAGTTTCATTTTGAGGCTATATAAAGCCTTCTATGTTGTATTCGTAATAAGACTTAGAAGATATATCAAAAGAAGCATTTGTGCTTTTCTTTAGCCAATGGCTAAGTTTCTTTGCAACTCTATGTAGTTTAGGTTGCATGTAGAATCATTCAAGCTCGACATGATCAATCTTGCTTGTGGAGTGATTCAAATCTCAAACAAGTGTTCTTGTCTTGAGATATTTGATCAACAAGAATCATTCAAGCTCGACATGATCAATCTTGCTTCTGGAGTGATTCGAATCTCAAACAAAGTGTTCTTGTCTTGAGATATTCGATCAACAAGGTAATCCGAATCTTATTCCCCTTGTATTGATTCCTTATCTTATCATTTGGTATCAGAGCTTCAGGCTCAAGATCGGATATATGTTTCCTTTGCGTTTCTTCTCAATTTAATTTTTATTTATTTTCATCTTTTTAGTTTTTAATCGACCCAAAGTTCAAAATTCAATCTTTGCTCTATTTAAAATTTTGAGAGGTGAGAATGAGAGCTTCATTTGTGTAAATGAGTGCAAACAGAGTGGCCTAAAATTCCTTGAGTGTATACACGTGAGAGAGTGTTGTGAGGTCCTTTGTATTTCCATAACTTATTTTTTGCAGCAAAGTTTCACAAATAGATTCGAGGACGAATCCTCTTGAAGAAGTGGAGAATGATATGAACCAAGAGACATCAATCATACAATATGCTTCAATGAAGATGTGAAGAAAAGGTTGTCAAAATTATCAAAAGATGTTTCAATTCATGCTACATTGAAGAAGAATAAAGTTTGATTGTTGTAAATTTTGGGTGGGTTATAATTTAGAGTTATTGTGTTTTAAGACTTTTTATTTAATTTCGGTTACATTTACATAATGGCTAATTATGGCCATAAAGTGTGAATGTTACAACTTTTGGAATGCCTTTAATAGTTTCATTTTGAGGCTATATAAAGCCATCTATGTTGTATTTGTAATAAGACTTAGAAGATATATCAAAAGAAGCATTTGTGCTTTTCTTTAGCCAATGGCTAAGTTTCTTTGCAACTCTATGTAGTTTAGGTTGCATGTAGAATCATTCAAGCTCGACATGATCAATCTTGCTTGTGGAGTGATTCGAATCTCAAACAAGTGTTCTTGTCTTGAGATATTTGATCAACAAGAATCATTGAAGCTAGACATGATCGATCTTGCTTCTGGAGTGATTCGAATCTCAAACAAAATGTTCTTGTCTTGAGATATTCGATCGACAAGGTAATCCGAATCTTATTCCCCTTGTATTGATTCCTTATCTTATGGCTCTGATACCAAATGATAAGATAAGGAATCAATACAAGGGGAATAAGATTCGGATTACCTTGTCGATCGAATATCTCAAGACAAGAACATTTTGTTTGAGATTCGAATCACTCCAGAAGCAAGATCGATCATGTCTAGCTTCAATGATTCTTGTTGATCAAATATCTCAAGACAAGAACACTTGTTTGAGATTCGAATCACTCCACAAGCAAGATTGATCATGTCGAGCTTGAATGATTCTACATGCAACCTAAACTACATAGA